TTTTTTTTTTTTTTTTGAAGAATTGCCACTTTGAGTTCTGTTATTGAGTGACCAGGGAGATTGAAGTGTTCTCCTACTGGTTTTTGAAAGTTATGATTCCGGATGTCAGATTTGTGTCCATTTATTCTTTTGCATAGAGACTGTACGGTTTGACCAATGTATATGGCAGAGGGGCATTGCTGGCACATGATGGCGTATGTCACATTGGTAGATGTGCTGATGAACGAACCCCTGATGGTGTGGCTGATGTGGTTAGGTCCTATGATAGTGTCCCTTGAATAGATATGTGGACAAAGTTGTCACCGGGGTTTGTAGCAGGGTTTGGTTCCTGGGTTGGTGTTGTGTGGTGTATAGTTGCTGGTGAGTATTTGCTTCAGGTTGGGGAGCTGTCTGTAAGTGAGGATTGGCCTGTCCCCCAGAGTCTGTGAGAGTGAGGGATCGTCCATCAGGATAGGTTGTAGATTCTTGATGATACGCTGGAGAGGTTTTAGTTGGGGGCTGCAGGTGACAGCTAGTGGCGTTCTGTTACTTTCTTTGTTGGGCCTGTCTTGAAGTAGGTGACTTCTAGGTACCCACCTGGTGGGTACAATACCCACCTGGGGAAGTGAAGAAACAGATTGACAGAGCCCCGCTGTGTCGGTGCTGGGGGGATCCCCCTGCAGCCCCGCTGTCAGAAGTGACAAATGCTGCAATCCTGCCGTGGCCTCACCAAGCCGTGGTTACCACTGCAACACCCTCATAAAGTGACTCCTGTGCATGATACGTTGCCGTGGTAACAAGGCAGCTTCCTGAGGCACCAATACCTGCACCATGATTTGAACCTCACCTGCACCATGATTTGAACCTCACCTGCAGCACATCATTTTCTGGCATTGTGTTTCAGTACTGAGATGGAGAGAATAATGTGACAAATTTAAATCAAATTAAAAGAGCTTCTTGTGGACTTTTGTTACTATTTATGAACATGCTTAACTGTCCTTAAGCATCTCTCTCTCTCTCTCTCTCTCTCTCTATATATATATATATATACAAAAAATGTAGGTTTTGGGAATTAGCTTTTCAGTTTTTTAGTTAGGCTGTGCCTCACTTGCCTAGGCTGATGAGCCATCCACTGAGTACAGCCTCCTGCAGCAAAGTGAACCTTCCTGACTGGTAGAACTCACTGACACTTCCCTCTAGTTCATCATGCTTTTCACAGGGAGAAAAGGAAATGGAAGTGCATTTCAGTAGCATCTTATAATAAGAGTTACAAATGGAAGGATGTCCGTGCAGATTCTCACTTTAGTCTGTGGCATTGTTGCTTAAAGTACTGACGTTGGGTTGTAGCAAGAATGATCATTTTTGATTTGCCATGTTCACTAGCCTTCCAGAGCAATCCCACCTCTGGTGCTTTGATTAAATGATACATGCCCTCAAGTTATTCTCATTTTGCTGCTGTTCCTGAAAGAGTGAGACTGGTTCTCTTGCTGCCCTTTGTGCTGCACTGCATCATACTAGAGACAAGAATCCTATAACCACCACAGTAGAAATAATAATCTCTTGGAACACCCTTTTAGAGAAATACGTAGTTCTGATACCTGAGGAGAGAAGAACTGCAGCCTGGCTCTTCATACCATGGGCTTTTCCTGTCTGCAGATGCAACAAATGTCTATTTGGGCACTAGAGATTTTCCAGCCCTATCTGGTCATCCTGAAGGGTTGGCACTTGATATCTACCCTAGTATATTTCTGGGAAACAGTGTTTGTGTCTCTGCTGTTCCCCTTCTAGCAGTCTGGACTCATTACTGTTTGCTTTATTTGATCAGGTCTGATGACTGTAAATGTTTATCCAGTCCCTAGTCTGCTGACCTGCCTTGAAATCTCCCGGTAAGTGGCAACACACAAAAGGATACAAAGTGAAATCCTGGTGGGCCTGGACCACTTCCTGCAGATTCTCTGGAATCCAAGTCCTGGGCTGTGTGTATTGAGTGACACAGGCACTCTCTCTAGGCTTCTTGGGAAATTACAAGGAGAAACTTGATCATTATCAAATCTGTGTTTTGCATGGATCTATCAAAGGTCTTTGTATAGTGACTTCCACTGTTGTACGGGATCCGTCTCTTCAAAGACATCTGCTCTTCTGTCCCTGAAAGGATGCTCAGTTGGATTTTTCTGTCCGTTCAGTTGACTGTTCATTTGAAATGCCACTTTGTTATTTCAGGCCTTTTCCATCCCCAAAACTTGCCTTCGGAAGAGAAATCTTTGTTCCTTAGAACTCAGCCCTATAGCATGCCCTTTCCCCATGTGCATGTTGGCTTCCATGGGAATTCTACCACAGTTCAAGGGGTCAACATAAATGCCAATGCCTGAGTTTTCGTGCCTCAGAAGCTCTGTTCATGTAGGAGGTAAATATGCTTCTGGAGTTAAGCACAGCAGTGATTGGATTTGGCTTGTCTGTATGGGAAAGTTTTGTCAGTATGCTGGTGTAATTAAACCAGTATGTATACTACTATAACTGCCTATCAGGGATTTCTCTTCCAGAATGAGAGTGGGTTTTTTCTGTTTACTTTAAACCTCTTCCAAAGCAATATTAGCTATACTGCAAAAAGGCATTCTGGTACTGGAGTAAGTGTGTCCACATGAGGAGTTATACTGGTATAACTGTATCAGTTTATTTCATACTGTAGCTTTTACCAGTATACTTTCCCATGTAGACAAGCTCTTAGTCCCATTTCCTGATGGTGTTGGGAGCTTTCAGTTTATCAGCTGATTTCTCTAAGTTCATGAAGCAACTTCCAGAATGTCCAAATGTTCCTCTTCCTGCCTTCTAGAGGAAATGGGAGGGATATAGTTCTTCTTTGAGTGATAGTCTGTATACATATTCAACAGTTGGTGTTTGCTTGTCCAGTGTGTACATGTCTCAACTTTCTGTTCAGCAGCATCCATTAGGGTGGTACATGTTTCCTTCACATCCCCATTTGTTCCAGGAAGAATATAAAAGATGGAGCTATCCAGCCACACCCAGTTCCTTCTTACTGCTTGTGGCATGGGTCAGAGCAGCTCACTTTTGGAGCAAACATACCTGTTTCTCATTGTGCATAGTTCTTATAGTTGGCAATTGGTGATAATGTTAGGTTTTTACTTTTTCCAAACTTGGGTACTTCCGCGAAGAAAGGACTTCTCCTTCACTGAATGTTTGGTACCGATTGCCTGCCTGGGAGACCACAAGTCCTCAGATTTTGAGCTGCCCCTCATATAAGGCCATTATCTCCTGAACAACGATCATGCAAGGGGTCTGTTCCACTTCAGCAAGGGACACGTTTCAGACCATTGCAAAATCTTTATTCCCTTCTCAAAGCGGACCCTGCAGTTGAGGGAGTCCCACCTGAGGGCCTTCCTGATGGAGCAGTCTCTGCACCGAGACTCTAATCCTGGCTTCCAGACATTGGGACTCTCTGGGGACTGGAGATCATCAAACTCAGTGCTGGTGGCCTCTTCAAAACCTCCCACAGTACCCTTAAAATACTCCTCATCTTCTAGGAAGCACCTCTAGGGATTTACCTGGACTTTTGATATGTCCCTCCCCACTGATGCTGTCCCAGTTCTTGGAACCAACAATGTCAGCACTGTTGCCTCCATGATCCTCAGGGCCAGCTAGATCGGTACCTTCAGCACCAACTGGGAGGGCACACACTCTTACAGAAGAAAACTACTTCTCATCCTCATTCACATAGCACAAGAACCAGGGTCAGCCAATGCAATTAATAGGCAGCAGGTTTAAAACAAACATAAGGAAGTACTTCTTCACACACCTCATAGTCAACCTGTGGAATTCATTACCAGGGGATGTTGTGAAGGCCTCAAGTATAACTGGGTTCTAAAAAAAATTAGATAAGTTCGTGGAGGATCGGTCCATCATGGCACCCCTGCTCAGGGTGTCCTTAACCTCCAACTGCCAAAATCTGGGAGTGGATGACAGGATGGATCATTTGATAATTGCCCTGTTCTGTTCATTTCCCTCCAAAGCATCTGGCACCAGCCACTGTCAGAAGACAGGACACTGGGCTAGGTGGACCATAGGTTTGACCCAGGCATGAGTACAGTACTAACCCCACCCGGAGTTCAGAACCACAAACAGCAGCAGCCTTCTCCCATGCTACAACCACAAAACCCAGAGTAGCTGGTACCAGCTAATTTGTCTTCATAATCACTGGACGAGACGCTTATACCACACCAAGTGATGGTCACTCCAGAAGACCATAAATAATCCAGGACTTGATGAGGCATATACCAGCAACTATAGAGATTCCCACCAAAGAAGTACATGGCACACTGCACAGGCTGCTCAATATATTACATATATCGGTACCATGTTGTGTAGCAATCATGATAAACAAGGACCTACTAGATCCTGCGAAGACCCTGTGGCAGACACCAGCATCATTAGCACCAACCTCAAAGTAGGCTGATAGATAGTATCAGGTGCTGGCCTATTCATACCTGGTACAGGGATCACTAGTAGTGACTGTGGCAAATGAGAGAATGTGCCACGGCTACCAGAATTCGGCTGCAAGCATAAGGAGCCTAGACTTTCTTGGTAGGAAATTGTACTCAACCTTGAGCCGCCAAATAAGGATATTGAACTATTAAGCAATCGTAGCAAAATATGACTACCTTGACTGGTGTTCTGTGGAATGTTTTATTGACAAACTGCTGCAGGAATTCAGAAGTGAGTTCTAAGCCATCCTGACGGGCAATTGGTTGCCAAGACAGCTCTATGGGCAGCATTGGACGCTGTGGATATGATCCCCAGGGCCATGGCAACAATGGTTATAATGTGCCATTCCTCACAGGGGACACATGACCATAGGCTTAAAGGGAGCATCCATGACTTTTGAGAGCACCAAGTAAAGATCCCACATAGGGAGTGGATCCCTAAACGATAGACAGTGTAGAGATGCTCCTCAGGAATCTGTTTGCCCTTGAGTGTGCAAATACTGATTGATCATGTGGTGGATGGATGACTGATATGGCAGCCAAATGAACTCTCAGCAAGAGACCTGTTTCAGCTGGTATAGTTATTCCCACATAGCCTGGAAATATGGTGCTGGTGGGTCCAATTGGAGAATCTCATCCACTTAGAGAGGCACTGTGCTGTAGTCTCTGTTTGCATAGGCTCCTCATTTCTGACTCCAATGAGAACTACTGCTTGAGATTCATCAGCTGCGGAATATGTATACAGGCTACCACTCAAAGAAGAAAAGAGGCTAATTACCTGTACAGTAACTGAGGTTCTTTGAGATGTGTAGTCTGTATATGTATTTCATCACCCACCTGCCATCCTTGCTGCTTCAGAGTCTTCACAAACCACTACAGATGGCAAAGGAACTGGATGTAGTTGGGTGACTCCGCCCTTTATACTCTCACCAGAATGCACAAGGATATGAAGGGCACATACAACCGACACTGCTAACTAGAAAGTTTTCTAACGCATGAGCACTGGGCGTGCAAACACCAACTGTGGAATATGAAGACAGGCTACACACCTTTAAGAACAACAGTACTGTACATATAACTAACCTCTTTGTACTTCATATTAACTGTTCCCCTTCTCAGGGAAGGGATAAATACTTTGTTTGAAAAGTGCTTTGAATATGTCAGTTGCTATATGAGGTCTGGGTGTGGTTAGGGCTGAACATTTATTTGTAAAATTTCAAGTAGTCAGACCAACCCTGTGTTCCCCCTCTCAGCCAATTTGTCTCAGGAGAGGGGGAATTAGTTACTGAGAGGTCTAATCTAATCGTTGCCTCAATTTCTTAGGGTTTGTGGCAAGTTTAGCTCCGTAGACTTTGCCCAGTTCTAATTGTTTCACATTTAGGCTGCAAAGTTCTCAAGTGACACCTCCCCCCACCCCATGCTATCAGAACAACATTCTCTCATTTTGTTGATTTCTACTTTCCCTTAGTATAGAGGCAGCTGAGAAAAATAGAAAGAAAATAGATTTGGCAAGGCTAAATTGGTGAGATTGCGACCTATGGTTCATGGCTGTAGATCCTTGATAGAAATAGTCTGCCTGGATTTTCATGAACATAAAGTAGAACCTGATGCCAGTCTTAGCTTAGAATTGATTAGGCCTCTGGATAAGAGGAGTGAGAGCAAAAGATTCTTCTGCGGATGCTTCCTGAAACACAGTGGCTTTCCCAGGTTGGTGCTCTGAGAGAGAGTGCAAGTTGCAGTTCCTCTGCTGGATTCTCTTCTATGGGACAACTCTCTCTTCAGCCCCTTTCTCATATCTTGCGGGCAGAGGTAGAGCACAGCTGTTCTTTTGAAAGAGAAGAGAGCAGTGAAGAGAGTGAAGCATCTCCTCGTAACAGAACAGACTAGCGTGAAAGTAAAATGAACATTTCCCAGACTAGAAGCCCCTTTAAACCAGCTTGGCATGACTAGGTGACTGGCTGCCTTTCAGCTCTTGGTCATTAGTTCAAAATTCAGTGAGTAGGAGTTGAAAGCTGTTACGAATGGCTGTTTATTGGACCATGACGTAAAAATCTGGAGAAGGGAGATATCTTAGCCCAGGTCCCAGTGGGCAGGCTACCTTCTTGTTCAGTGCTAATTTGCCCCTTGTTGGCAGGTCTCAGCAGAGAGACCAAAGACTGAATGGGCCATGGAATCTGGCCTCTCCTCTCACTCTAGCTCTGGGGTGAAGTGCATCAACATGCCAGCATAGGGAAGCTTGGCCTGCTTTTGCCACAGCTGTGGATAAAACATCATGCCATGAATCAGCACTCTTTACGAGCCCTACACTCACTGGTTTTGTTTTAAATGAGTTTGAATGAGAACTGGTGTGTGTGACTGATTCTACACTGTTGTTTCTTTTTCTTTGGGTTTGTCTCTTGTGCTATTTTATATTTGGGAACCACTAGTGTGTTCCAGCAAAATCTCCACATGGTGGGTTATAGGTTCAGTAGAATTCTGGTATCTTGCTGTCCCTCCTCCTCTTATGCTTTCCATTTCCTTTTCTCAGTAACCAGCTGCTGTGTATCCCTGACTGGGCCTGCGAAGCAAAGAAACTTGAGGTTTTGGATATGAGCTACAATCTCCTCACAGAGCTTCCATCAAGGTAATAGCAAACCCCCTTCTTGGCCAAAGGTGGGACTCCCTCCAGGATGTGTGTGTTGGGGAAAAAGAGTGATAGTACTCTTCTATACCCCTCTCCTCCCCCCCAGCAATGTTTCACTTGCTTGTGATGCCAATATGTGGTGCCACGTTGTCTGGACTGTGCATATGTTCAAAACATTTATAGATTTTTAAGGTCAGAAGGGATTGTTATAATCATCTCATTTGACCTCCTGAATAACACAGGGCAAAGAATTTCATCCAGCGATTCCTGCATCTACCCCAACAATTTGTGGCTGAACTAGAGAGTATATTGTAGAAAGATAATCCAAGCTTGATTTAAAGGCTTCAAATGCTGGAGAATCTACCACATCCTGTGAGTAGATTCCAATTGCTGATTATCCTCAACAATAAAATGTATGCCTTATTTCCAGTTTGAATTTTGCTGATTTCAACTTCCAGCTGTTGGATCTTGTTGTACCTTTGTCAGATAACTTAAAAAAGCCCCGTAATATCAGGAACTTTTCCCAGTGTAGGATATTTTAGACTGTTGCCTCTTTTCTATATGTTGCTCTTAATCCTTTTTTCCCCTCCAACTAATTAAGGGACCGAATGGCTAGGCAGCAATTCTGCGGAAAAGGACCTAGGGGTTACCGTGGACGAGAAGCTGGATATGAGTCAACAGTTTGCCCTTGTTGCCAAGAAAGCTAACGGCATTTGGGGCTTTATAAGTAGGGGCATTGCCAGCAGATCAAGGGATGTGATCATTCCCCTCTATTCGACATTGGTGAGGCCTCATCTGGAGTACCGTAACTCCTCACTTAGTCATCCCGGTTAACGTTGTTTTGTTGTTACGTTGCTGATCAATTAGGGAACATGCTCAGTTAAAGTTGTGCAATGCTCCCTTCTAACGTCTTTTGGCAGCCGCCTGCTTTGTCCACTGCTTGCAGGAAGAGCAGCCCGGTGGAGCTAGCTGGTGGGTGGTTGGAACCCGGGTGGACCGACAGCCCCCCTATCAGCTCCCCGCTCCCCTAAGTTCCCTGTGCAGCAGCTGCCCAGCAGGCTAGCAATTGCAGCTGTCCCTCCCCCCACTGCCATGTGCTGCTCCTGCCCTCTGCCTTGGAGCTGCTCCCCGAGACTCCTGCTTGCTGTGTGGGGGAGAGGAAGAGGAGGGCTAATGTCAGGGTGTCCCCCTCCCCCCTGCTCTTGCACCCTGCTTACCCCATCTTCCATAGAGCAGGGGGGACACACAACAGAGGGAGCTTCCAGGCAGCAGCAGCTGCAGTCCGGTGTGTGTGTGGCTCTGTCTGCCCTCCCTCCTTTCCTGCTGCCTTGTACAGTAGAATGAGAGAGTTAACCCTTGAGGGCTCAGTCAATTGCTAGTTCATCATTTAGCAGTAAGGCATTCCCTGGAAATATCCCACCCTTTGACTTCACAATCATCATCACTGTGTACCAGTATTAAATTGTTTGTTTAAAACTTATACTGTGTGTGTGTGTGTGTGTGTGTGTGTGTGTGTGTGTGTGTGTGTGTTATATATATGTCTTTTGTCTGGTGAAAAAAATTTCCCTGGAACCTAACCCCCTCATTTACATTAATTCTTATGGAGAAATTGGATTCGCTTAACATTGTTTTGCTTAGGCTTGGTCTACACTCACCCCCCAAATCGAACTAAGGTACGCAACTTCAGCTACATGAATAACGTAGCTGAAGTTCGAAGTAACTTAGTTTGATCTTACCTCGGTCCACACGCGGCAGGTAGGCTCCCCCGTCGACTCCGCGGTACTCCTCTCTTCTAGCTGGAGTACCACAGTCGACGGCGAGCACTTCCTGGTTCGACTTATCGCGTCCAGACAAGACGCGATAAGTCAAACCCAGAACTTCGATTGCCAGCCGCCAAACTAGCGGCTGGGTGTAGACATACCCTTAAAGTCACATTTTTCAGGAACAGAACTACAACGTTAAGTGAGGAGTTACTGTACTGCATCCAGTTTTGGGCCCCACACTACAAGAAGGATGTGGAAAAATTGGAAAGAGTCCAGCGGAGGGCAACAAAAATGATTAGGGGCTGGAGCACATGACTTATGAGGAGAGGCTGAGGGAACTGGGATTGTTTAGTCTACAGAAGAGAAGAATGAGGGGGGATTTGATAGCTGCTTTCAACTACTTGAAAGGGGGTTCCAAAGAGGATGGATCTAGACTGTTCTCAGTGGTGGCAGATGACAGAACAAGGAGTAATGGTCTCAAGTTGCAGTGGGGGAGGCTTAGGTTTGATATTAGGGAAAAACTTCTTCACTAGGAGGGTGATGAAGCACTAGAATGGGTTACCTAGGAAGGTGGTGGAATCTCCTTTCTTAGAGGTTTTTAAGGTCAGGCTTGACAAAGCCCTGGCTGGGATGATTTAATTGGGGATTGGTCTTGCTTTGAGCAGGGGGTTGGACTAGATGACCTCCTGAGGTCCCTTCCAACCCTGATATTCTATGATTCTATGAAATATGGTCACACATGCTGTTCTTGTCTCCTCAGGCTTACCACTATCTCATTGGGGTTCAAAATCAGTCACAAGCAAAATTAAGTGAGAGGAAATATTTAAACATAAAAATACAAATGATAATTGGGAATTATTTAAGAATGGTTAGATGCCCAAGCCCCACATTCTTCAGTCACAAAAGAAGGCTACTTCAGTTAAAAAAACCCAATAACAATACATCCTGGCAAAGAGGGGAGGTGAAAGAGGAAATAAAAAAAATGGAAAAGCAGTGAAGCTGATAGCAATGAGTACAAATCAGCAGTTAGGAAATACAGACAATTGATAAGGGAAGCTAAAGGTATCAGTGAAAAATCTGTGGCCAGTAAGAAGGCATTTTTTAAATATGTCAGGAACAAATTAAATCCTACCAGTGATATAAGTCTAATACTAGACAGAATTGTAAAACTATCAGCTATGATGCAGAAAAAGCAGAGGCATTCAATAAATACAGGCGTTCTGTATTTGAAAAGAAGCAGGATGATGTGTTCTCATATCTCAATGTGATGATGAAATACATTCTGTTTTATCAGTATCTGGGGAGGATGTTAACCACCAACTAGAATGATTAAAGGTCAAGAGCAACAAGAATGATTAAAGGTCTTGAGAACATGACCTATGAAGCAAGGCTGAAAGAATTGGGTTTGTTTAGTTTGGAAAAGAGAAGACTGAGAGGGGACATGATAGCAGTTTTCAGGTATCTAAAAGGGTGTCATAAGGAGGAGGGAGAAAACTTGTTCACCTTAGCCTCTGAGGATAGAACAAGAAGCAATGGGCTTAAACTGCAGCAAGGGAGGTCTAGGTTGGACATTAGGAAAAAGTTCCTAACTGTCAGGGTGGTTAAACACTGGAATAAATTGCCTAGGGAGGTTGTGGAATCTCCATCTCTGGAGATATTTAAGAGTAGGTTAGATAAATGTCTATCAGGGATGGTCTAGACAGTATTTGGTCCTGCCATGCGGGCAGGGGACTGGACTCGATGACCTCTCGAGGTCCCTTCCAGTCCTAGAATCTATGAATCTATAACTGTTAAAGTTAAACATTTTTAAATCTGCAAGGCCAGATATATTGAACCCATGAATATTAAAAGAATTGTCCTAGGAGCTCTCTGAACAATTTGGCTTGGTTTTTAACAAATCTGGGAACACCGAGGAAGCAAAAGCCAATGTTGTGTCGATATTTAAAAAGGGTAAACAAAATGACCCAGAAAATTTTTGAGTGACTGGTTAACCTGATGATGAACCTGGACAAAATCATGAAAAGGCTGATATGAGAAACAGTCAGTAAAGAATTAAATTATGATATCATAATTAATGCCAGTCAACATGGTCTTATGAAAAATAGTTCTTGTCAAACAAACTTGATACCATTTTTTATCAGATTACAAGTTTGACAGACAAAGGTAATTGTGTTGACATAATATACTTAGTTTTGTAAGGCATTTGAACCATGACATTCTGATTTAAAAAAAATACCACTATACAAAATCATATTAAATGTATTAAAAACTGGTCAACAGATACAGAGAAAAAGGTAATTATAAATGGGGAATCATCATCTAGTGGAGGTGTGTCTAGTGACATCCCTCAGTATCTATTCTCAGCCCAGTGATGTTCAAAAAACATTATCAGTGATCTGGAAGAAAATATAAAATTGGTAAAAGTTTGCAGATGACACTAAAAGTGGTAGAGTGGTAAATAATGATAGGGACAGGTCAATTGTACATGCCAGCCTGGATTGCTTTGTTTGAAGGGCTCATTTGAAGAATGTATTTTAACACAGCCATTGGCATAGTCCTGCACTTCATAACAAGGGCTGTTGGTCACATTTATAAGATGGAGGACTGTATCTGGAAGAGCAGAGATTCTGGAAAGGACTTACTGGGACATAACGAGTAGAATGTGAGCTTCTGGTGCAATCCAATAACTAAGAGAGTGAATTAAATCCTTGGCAGTAAGCAGTGGGGGGACCATTACTGGATACTGGATCCAGTTCTGGAGTCCACACTTTAAAAAGTATGTTGACAAATTGGAAAGGCTTCAGAAAAGAGTTACAAGAATGATTTGAGGTCTGGAAAATATGACACCTAGCCAGAGACTAAAGAAAAGCTCCATCTATTTAGAGAGACAGGGAGGGTGAGATAACAGAAGTTGGTCCAATCAAAGATATTACCTCACCCACCTTGTCTCTCTAATATTCTGGGACCAACACGCCTACAACACTACCTCAATCTATGTAGTTTATTGAAGATTAGGTTAAGAGGTGACTTGATCACTATATGTATTTCCCTATGGGGGGAAAAGATTTCTGATAGTCGACAGCCCTTTAGTTTGGCAGAAAAAGGTATAACCAGATCCAGTGGCTGGAAACTGAGGCTAGGCAAATTCAGAGTAGAAATAATGTGCAAATTTTTAACAGAGAGAAATTAACAGAAACAACTAACAAAGGGATGTGATGGATTCTCCATCACTTGAAGTCTTTAAATCAACATTGGTTGTCTTTCTAAAAGATGCATCTTAGCTCAAACAAAAGTTATGGGGCTAGAATTTTGGGATGACAATCTATGGCCTGTACTATGCAGAAGGTCAGAGCAGTTGATCATAATGGTCTTTTCTGTCCTCCAAATCTGTGCATGTTTTTGGGCAGAGCTGCTTTAAGTTATAGGCACAGTAAATGCATGGCAAGGGCCAATGTGCCCAGAGTCATGTGATGATGATAGTATCTCAACTTTCATTTCAATTCAAATTATACTTAATTCAACCCAAGGTACTTAAGGCACTGGCTGAAGCATGCTCAGTACCATTAGCAGTTATCTTTAAGAACTCCTGAAGGATGAATGAGGTCCCAGAAGACTGGAGAAGGGCTAACATAGAACCTATCTTTAAAAAGAGGAACAAAGAGGACTTGGGGAATTATAGACCAGTCAGCCTAACTTTAATACCTGGAAACAATTATTAAACAATCAGTTTCTAAGTACCTGGAAGATAATGGGATTATAAGAAATAGTCAGCATGGTTTTCTCAAGAACAAATCATGCCAAACCAACCGTATTTCCTTCTGTGACAGGGTTACTTCTTAAGTGGATGGGAGGGGGAGCATGAAGCAGTAGATGTGATATATCTTGATTTTTAGTAAGTCTTTTGACACAGTCCCACATGACAATCTTATAAATTAACTAGATGAAATTACTATAAGGTGGGTGTACAATTGCTTGAAAAACTGTACTTGCGGAGTAGTTATCAATGGTTCACTATTAAACTGGAAGGGTGTATCTAGTGGGGTCCTGCAGGAGTCTGCCCTGGGTCTGGTACTATTCAATATTTGCATTAATGACTTGGATGATGGACTTGGGATTATGCTTATAAAATTTGCAGATGACACCAAGCTGGGACAGGTTGCAAGCACGTGGGAGGGCAGGATTGGAATTCTAAACAGTCTTGACAAATTGGAGAATTTGGTCTGAATTCAACAAGATGATATTCAGTAAAGACAAGTGCAAAGTACTTAAGAAGGGAAATCAAATGCACAACTACAAAATGGAGATAGTTCTTCTGGAAAGGATCTGGGATATATAGTGGATCACAGATTGAATATGAGTCAGTAATGTGATGCAGTTGCAAAAGGCTAACATCATTTTGGGATGTGTGGTATGTAAGATACAGGAGGTAATTGTCCAGCTTTACTTGTCACTGGTAAGGCCTCAGCTGTAGTACTGTGTCCAGCCATGGGCACCACACTTTAGGAAAGATGTGGACAAATTGGAGAGAGTCCAGTGGAGAGCATGATAAATGGTTAAGAAAACCTGACCTATGGGGAAAGCTTAAAAAAAACTAGGCAGATTAATGTGAGAAAAGAAGACTTAGTGGGGACCTGACAATAGTCTTCAAATATTTTAAGGGCTGTTATAAAGAGGACTGTGATCAATTGTTCTCCATGTCCACTGGAGAAAGGACAAGAAATAATAGGCTTAATCTGCAGCAAGGGAAATTTAGGTTAGATATTAGGAAAAACTTGTAACTAAAAGGATAGTTAAGCTCTGAAACACCTTCCAAGGGAGGTTTTGGAATCCCCATCATAAGTTTTTAAAAACAGGTTGGACAAACACATATCAGAGATGATCTGGGTTTACTTGTTTCTAACACAGCACAGGAGGCTTGACTTAATGACTTCTTGAGGTGCCTTCCATCCCTACATTTCTATGATTCTATACTTCTAGTCCTCATAGTGGCAAAGAAATAGTTGGGTCATATTTTCGAGGTTAACTGATGCAGTAACGTGTGTCTCGGTATGCAGAGGGCTTGAAACAATAGTTTTGAGGCGGAGAACTGCCCTGGCTGTAACTGATGCAGAGAGAGGACCAGCAGCCTCTAGAGCAGAGGTGGGCAGGCCCACGGAACTGTCCTGCCCTGCCATTGAGCTCCCGGCCGGGGAGGCTAGCACCCCAGCCCCTCCCCCACTGCCCCCCCCTTCCGTAGCTGCGCCGCCGCATGCTCTTGCTGAGCAGTGTGGCAACATGTCTGGCTCTGGCCGGGTGGCACGGCTGCCAGACATGCTGCTCTGAGCGCCATGGTAAGGGGTCCGGGGAGTTGGATAAGGGGTGGGGGATCCCGGGGGGCAGTCAGGGGACAGGGAGCAGGACCGGTTGGATGGGGTGGTGGTTCTGAGGGGCAGTGGGGGATAGGGGGGGTTGGATAGGCGTGGGAGTCCCGGGGGGACCTGTCATAGGGAGGGGCTGTGGATAGGGGTCAGGGGATGGGGAACAGGGGGGTTGGATAGGTGTGGGGTCCCAGGGGGCCTGTCAAGGGGTGGGGCTATGGATAGAGGTCAGAACAGTCAGGGGACTGGGAGCAGGGGGGTTGGCTAGGTGGTGGGGTCCCGGAGGCGGTTAGGGGCGGGGGGTCCCGGGAGGGGGCAGTTAGGGGACAAGGAGCAGGGGGGGTTGGATGGGTCGGGAGTTCTGAGGGGGGCAGTCAGAGGGCGGGAAGTGGGAGGGGTCGGATAGGGGGCAGGGGCCAGGCTGTTTGAGGAGGCACAGCCTTCCCTACCCGGCCCTCCATACAATTTTGCAATCCCAATGTGGCCCTCGGGCCAAAAAGTTTTCCATCCCCTGCTCTAGAGCCAGGAAATAAGTGCTAGAGCAGACCAGGCTCCTGAAACCCTGAGGGTACTGAGGGCCACCATCAGCAGTACAGGGGCAGGGGCCTCCAGGCTCTTCTGAGTAGATAAAAGGAGGATTAGGCCACTGACAACTGCTGCTGGCTCCTCCTGGAAGCCAGAGGAGAAGGTGCCCCACCCCACAGCAGGTGCTGTATGAGGAGAATTGGATGTTACACCTTCATCCTTGGAGCAGGGAAAAAATGATGCTGATATCTCCTCAGCACCATTCACTGGTAGTTCCCAAATAAGCTGTCACCTGCAGTGGCTTTCAGAGCTCCATAGTGTGATGATCTCTTCCTTTCCTACATGTTGTCATGAAATAGATGCCAGTGTCCATGCTGTTAACTGAGTTATCTCACTGAAATTAATGGGGCAGTTTACACCTGTTTGTTGTTATTTTGGGCTGTCTGCAGACTCAGGTAGACATCACTGTAGTGGTTACACTCAGCTCAACTTTCTGAAATTATCTTTGCAGTTATTAGGGCTAGAGACTTGGGTTGTTTTTTTAAAGAAAAGCTGAGATTCTGGAGAATATGATGGTAGCTTCAAAACCGCACTGGGTTGTTGATCCAGCGCAGTTCGAGCCCAGAATCCCTTAGTCAGTCAGCATTGAGATTAGTCTCTTCTGTCAGAAGGAGGAAGTCACTAAATTCTAGTCCGTCCTTTGCTGTTCCATTTCTCCTTCATCCTATACTGTGAAGTATGCTCAACAGTGTATCTATATAGACATGCCTACCGCACAAATCAGTGATCTCCAGATACGTGTACAGTAGCTTGGATAGAACTGCAGGGGCACTCAGATACATGTGTGTACACAAAGGTAGGGGCTTGCCTGATCACACATGCCTCTCACTCTTTGCATTGTTTAAAATTCACTGACCCAGGCAATGTAATGTTCTTCAGCCCTAATTTTGTTTAATAACAGGATTAAAGACCAGGATCTTTCTGCTGTGGGGCTCTGAAAGAAAGGTGAGCCAAACTAATTCAATAAGCTCTCTGTCCTCCTAGGACCCTGAGTAGTTTGAGTCTTCGGAAGTTGATGGTGGGGCACAACCACGTGCAGAGCCTTCCACCTCTGCTGGAACACATTCCCTTGGAGGTGCTGGACCTCCAGCATAACCTGATCACTAAACTCCCGGAGATGTTCTTCTTCAAGGCTCTGAAGTAAGTGGCAGCAGAACACATTTTATTAGGATGGAATCTTTTACCTAACTCTGGTGAAAGATCAGTTTCCTCTGGCTGTCTCACCTTTGGAGCTGTAAAGGGTTATGGTGCTGCTTGCGTGACTGACCGTGCCAGGTTCTGGAGCTTAATTGCCTGTTGAGTAAGAGGTAATAGGGCAGATTTATGTTTTATGAGGCAGAGTAATCCAGGTAACTAGGGGAGAAATCACCCAGCTGGCTGCTGAGGGAATCAGGTTTCTGTATAATAGCAGGAAAGGTGAGTGTAGTCTAACCCACCGGCCCACCAAGGAAGTTGCCTGTAGTTATTGTTGTTTCTCTACCACGATTCATATGCACATAGGAACACAAAATTCCTGCCCTGAGGAGTTTTCATTCTTTGACACCAGTATATAAGTTTTTGAGGTACAAAGAAGAAAGCAGACAGGCACTTGGATACCACTGTGATAGGTGCAGTATAAGGTGTTAGGGGCAGAGAAGAGATACTCACTGGAATGGAATAATCCTAAATAAAATAAAACACAAGCTTTATACTCCCAAGTAACTGTGAGAGCATCCTGCACTCAGCTTTTTTCTACCCGTTCCCTGTGTTCTCTCTCAACTTAGCTTGCAAACTCTTCAGGGCAGGCACTCCCTTTTTGTTGCAAAGCACTATGTGCATCTCCAGTACTATATAGCTAGTAATTTTTAGATTTATAGATTTTTAAGGCCAGAAGAGACCATTATAATCGTCTGTTATGATAATGTGGCCCTAGCTATCTGTCCAGCTTCTCATATGGCTTCTGTCACTGTCGTATCTGGTGAAGTGGTTTGGATGGGATGGAACCTAATGTCTCTTAATCCGTTGTTGTTAGTCTCAGGTACCTGAATGTATCTGCCAACAGCCTGGAGTCCTTGCCTGGGGAAGAGAGTCTCAGCGCGCTGCAGCTACTTTACTTGACCAATAATAACCTCACAGATCAGTGCATCCCTGACTTGGTGGGACACCCAAACTTACGGGTCCTGCACCTGGCAAACAACCAACTGCAAACCTTCCCTGCAAGGTAAATGCACACAAAAGGTGGGGAAAGGTAATGCTCAGCTAACAGGGCTAGAATCAGTCAACTCAGCTGGTTTAGAGTGAGTGGGTTTCCTTCTGTCATGGGGAACTGGTAGGAGCTTATCAATGTCATGGTGAGATGCTGTGCCTCTGATATGTGACTCAAGATTCACTCCTCCCAAGCATCCATCAGTATCCCTCAGGATAGTGCTGGCTGCTGTGGTTCCTGTACTCCTAGTGCATGCCGATTGTGATGCAGGTGGGGGTGTATGGCTGGCTGAGCCTGGGGTGGCTGCATTGCTAATAGCAGTGGGCAGTGCACTTTACAGCAGCTGTTGATCTGAAGGCTGTTGAATCGTACTGTTCATACAGTCCTAGATTTTCACGCCGGAAGGCCATTCTGATAATTTAGTCTGACATCCTACATACCTCAGGCCATATAATTTTATCCGTTGATTCCTACATTAAGTTCATAATTTGTGGTTGAGCTAGAGCATCTCTCTTAGAAAGGTACCCACTTTTGATTTAAAGACTTCAGGTGACTGAGAATCAACCACGTCCTTTGGTAAGTTGTTTCAATGGTTAATGACCCTCACTTTAATAAATAAATAAATAAAAAAATAAAAAAAGTGCTTTTATCAAGTCTGAGTCTGTTTAGAGTCAACTTCCAGCCATTGGATTTCATAATGCCTTTGTCTGTTAAAGAGCCATATAGCATCAGAAATCTTACCCCCTGTAAGTACTTCTAGACAGTGATCAAATCACTTCTTAACCTCCTATTCAATAAACTAAATAGATTGACCTCAGATCATTTGGTTGGCTCTTCTCTGAACCCTTTCCAGTTTTTGAATATACTTTTTGAAGTGTGAACATGAGAAATGGACACACTATCCCAATAATGGTCTCACTAGTGCTGTAAGCAGAGGGGATACTACCTCCCTAGTTCTTCTTGATATTCCCTGCCTATACAGCCAAGGATCAAGTTACCCCTCTTACCCACAGCATAGGAATTGGCATCTCCTGTTCAGGTGGTTATCTACCATGACCCTTAAATCCTTTTCAGTTACACTACTTTCCAGAAAACAGTTCCCCATCCTGTAAGTGTGACTTGTGTTCTTTGTTGGTGTATGACCTTGCATTTGTTGTATTTGAACAACATGCACTTCAATAAGCCCAGTGTACCAAGTGATCCAGTCGATCTCTAGAACTGACTCATCCTTATTACTATTTACTACTCCACCAATTTTGCGTCATCTGGAAACTCTACTATGAGTGAGTCTTTATTTTCTTACAGATCATTGATAACGGTATTGAATAGCATTGGGCCATCAACAGACCCTGCAGGACCCAACTAGAAAAGCCCCTATTGGATGATGATTCCCCATTTAGATTTATTTTTGGTGATTTATCAGTTAGCCAGTTTTTAATGCACTTAATCTGTTAATGTATGTGTTGTATACAGTGTCTTACAGAAGTCTAAGTATATTATGTCAACACATTTATCTGTTATCCAAACTTGTAATCTCATAAAAAAAACTGTATCTAGATTGTTTGACAAGACCTATTTCCATAAAACCATGTTGATTGGCATTAATTATGCTACTATCATTTAATTCTTTATTGATTGTATCCTATATTGGCCTTTCCATGATTTTGCCTAGGGTCAGTGTCAAGCTAATTAAGCTATTGTTTCATGGGTCATGCCATTTATCCTTATTAAATAAAACATTAGCTTGTTTCCAGTCATCTGGGACTTCCCCAGCATTCCAAGATTTGTTAAATATCTACACTAGTGACCCACAGAGCTTCTCAGTCAAGTCCCTGGAAACTCATGGGTGCAAGTTGCCTGTGATGAGTTTCTCTTCTGCTTTCATGCATGTAGGAGCCAGGAGCAAAGGAATCAGACCACTGGGCAAATCCTGGCCTGACAGTCCCTGTTCTCACTGCCATGTCTCCTTGGACTTGCTGGCTGTCTCCTATCCATAAATCAGAAACACAGCTAGTAAGCAGCTGAACCTTTCCTTCGGCTGCTTCTCTAGTTTCTCCTGCCCAGGGAGCAGATTAACCCTTTGGGTCCTGTGCCTATGAATTCTGACGGTGGCAGGTTCTGGCTCATGAGATCTGCTACTTTGGATTTCCCCTTCAGCAAACTGAGCAAACTGGAGCAACTGGAAGAGCTGAACCTGAGTGGCAACAAGCTGAAGACGATTCCTACAACGATCGCAAACTGCAAGCAGCTGCACACACTTATTGCACACTCAAATGAGATCAGTATCTTCCCAGAGATCCTGCACCTACCTCGTATTCAGGTACCCCTGAAGGGTGAAAGGCTTCAGGAAATAGTTGGAGTGGAGGGATAACAGTGGAATTCCTGGGAGAGGAACTGCAGGCTCCAGCATTAGAGATGCAGGTCCCATAGAGGGTATAATATGTGCATCCTGTATCTATTCTGTTCCTTCTTGTTTGTCTCCTCTCTAAATTAAAGTCACAGACTTATCATTCCCTCCTACATATTCATTGCCCATCTCTGAACCCCCTCAATTTCTATCATTCATGAGACACGAGGAGCAGAACTGAACACGCAAGTCCAGCACATATCTGTATGGGGCCCAATCACTACATTTCCCACCACCTCTGACCACCATCCCCGTGGGGCCCTGTTACTACATTCTCCACCCCATTTAGGATCTCCCCCCAACTCCTAAGAGCTCTGTCACTATACAAGAACATAAGAACGGCCATACTGGGTTAGACCACAGGTCCATCAAGCCCAGTATCCTGTCCTCTGACAGTGGACAATGGCAGGTGCCCCAAAGGGAATGAACAGACAGGTTATCATCAAGTGATCCATGCCCTGTCACCCAATCCCAGCTTCTGGCAAACAGAGGCTAGGGACACCATTCCTGCCCATCCTGGCTAATAGCCATTGATGGACCTATCCTCCATGAATCTATCTAGCTCCCTTTTGAACCCCGTTATAGTATTGGTCTTCACAACACCCTCTGGCAAGGAGTTTTACTGGTTGACAGTGCGTTGCGTGAAAAAATACTTTCTTGTGTTTGTTTTAAACCTGCTACCTATTAATTTTATTTGGTGGCCTCTTGTTCTTGTATTATGAGGAGTAAATAACACTTCCTTATTTACTTTCTCTATACCACTCATGATTTTATAGACCTCTATCATATCTCCCCTTAGTTGCCTTTTTTCCAAGCTGAAAAGTCCCAGTCTTATTAATCTCTCCTCATATGGAAGCCGTTCTATACCCCTAATCATTTTTGTTGCCCTTTTCTGAACCTTTTCCAATTCCAATATATCTTTTTTGAGATGGGGCGACCACATCTGCACACAGTATTCAAGATGTGGGGGTACCATCGATTTATTTAGAGGCAATATGATATTTTCTGTCTTATTATCTATCCCTTTCTTGATGATTCCCAACATTCTGTTCGCTTTTTTGACTGCCGCTGCACATTGAGTGGATGATTTCAGAGAACTATCCACAATGACTCCAAGATCTTTCTTGAGTGGTAACAGCTGTTCTTCTTCGAGTGATTGTTCATGTCCATTCCAAGCAGGTGTGTGTGCGCCGCGTGCACGCCAGCCGGAAGATTTTACTATAGCAGCGTCCATAGGGTCGGCTCCGGCGCCCCCTGGAGTGGCGCCCTCATGGCGCTGTATGTAGGGGCCAGCCGACCCCCCACCCCCTCAGTTCCTTCTTACCGCTGGTGACGGCTAGCTGGAACTTCGCTTGCTCTTCAGCAATCGTGGCAGTGTTCTGTAGTTGTTGTAAATAGTTAATTAGTTAGTTTGTTGTTTAGTGTTAGCTAGTTAGATATTAGTTGGGAGGGTTTTCCCCAACTTTTCGTCGCCCCGCTGGGGCATGCCCGGGTCCCCAGGGTTCAAACTCTGCCGGGACTGTGGGAAATTTATGCCGAAGAGTGACCTGCACTCTTCGTGCTTAAGGTGCCTCGGAGAGACCCATCAAAGGGATAGGTGCACTATCTGCAGGGCTTTTCGCCCCAGGACTCTCAAAGATAGAGAGCAGAGACTTAAAGTCCTCCTAATGGAGGCGGCACTGCGGCCGCAATCGGATCCCGGACCTTCCGAGCCAGCACCCAGCACTTCATCCTCGGTGCGCAGTGCCCCGGCACGGGAGATAAGTCATGAGGCCAAGGCCCCGAAGCCCTGGCACCGTAGAGAGTCGGCGCATAAGAAACCGTCTTCTACAAGACGCTGCTCTCCATCGCCAGTGCCGGTTAAAAAGAACAGGCCGCTGAGGGGACAATCTCCCCACCGGGACTCTAAAGGTTCGGCGCCGTCCACGAGTGTCACAGGACAACTCGCGCCACAGACCCATCCCGCCATCCTGTTGACTTCCGCCCCGGAGAGGGCACGCTCGAGTCCGGAAAGGCATAGATCCCCGGACATGATGGAGGAGGTGCGCCTCCCATCGACGCCGGAGGCGTTCGAGGCCGCATCAGACCTCTTGAGCCTCCCGGTGCTGGCGTCGCCGCACCGGTGCAGAGAACCTCCGGCTACCGCTCAGCCCCATTACCACTCTAAGGGCAAACCGGCGATGCGCTCACCGCGCTCTCCACGCCGCGCCACGTTAGCGGCACCGGTGCAAGCACCCCCTCCGGCGACAGTGGGTACCGCGCCTCCTATGTCCTCATATTCAGAGACTTCTGACTCAGAGGCGGACTCGTACCGCTCTAACAGATCGAGGAGCAGGCGATCGTCCTCGCGTAGGAGTACCCATCCGTACCCACCGCAGTGGCATCAGCAGCAGCAATGGCAACCGGCCCCTCAGTGGCCGTTCTGGACGCCCTAGGCCTACCATCAGTCAGTGGATCAGGCGTACGGGCCCCGCTCATGAACCGCTTCTGTTTCCTCAACGTCTGCGGCCCCGCCGCTAATGCCACCACCGCCGGCACCGCCGTCTGACAGGAGTGTACCACAAGGGGACACGGCACCCCCTGGTCAAACAACGGCACCGACGGGGACTTTGCTCCCAACAGCGCAGGCACCGTCCAACACTCCTCGTCGTTCGGTGGCGACCTCGGTACCGGCCGCGGTGCCGCATCTTGAGCCCGCACCGGCCGCGCAGCCTGAGTACCGCGTGCCGCAGGCCCTCACAGAGGGAGACGTGGTAGATGAAGGGCCGTTGCGTGGGACATCTTCCTCTTCATCTCCGGACGAGGCAGTAGCGGGAACTTCAGCAGCACCGGCCCTAGAGGACAATAGGATTCTCCAACAGCTTCTTACTCAAGCGGCCCAGAGCCTCTCGATCCAGACTGAGTAGATCAAGGTGGACACAGATCCCATGATTGACATCCTGGCCCCGTCAGGTCCGTCTAGGGTAGCCCTACCTCTCATAAAGACCATTACGGACACAACCCGCACCTTGTGGCAAACTCCAGCCTCATTGGCCCCTACGGCCAAAAGGACTGAGAGGCGATATTTTGTTCCAACTAAGGGGTATGAGCATCTTTATACACATCCCCCACCGGACTCCCTAGTGGTAGATGCGGCCAACCAGAGGGAACGCCAGGGTTTCCACGGGGCTACTCCTAAAAATAGAGACGCTAAAAAGTTGGACCTGTTCGGGCGCAAGGTATATTCAATGGGGGACCTGCAGTTGCGCATTGCCAATCAGCAAGCCATAGTGAGCCGGTATGGACACAACACATGCTCGGCTTTGTCTAGGTTCACGGACCTCCTCCCACAGGACTCACGAACCGAGTTTTCGGCCCTGGTTGACGAGGGAAGATTGATTACCCGTGCTTCCCTCCAGGCGGCCTTGGACGCGGCCGATTCAGCCTCTTGCACGTTGGTGACTGGTGTGGTCATGAGGCGCGGGGCCTGGCTTCAAGTTTCCGGTCTCCCTCACGAGGTCCAACAAACGATCCAGGACCTGCCCTTTGAAGGGCCCACGCTCTTCTCAGAAAAGACTGATAAGAGGCTCCATAGCCTAAAGGATTCACGGACCACCCTCTGTTCCTTAGGCCTACACACCCCTGTTACCCAGCGTAGGCAGTTCAGGCCGCTGCAGGCCCCTCGACCGTACCAGCCTCAAAATCGAGGGGATGCCTCGCGCAGAAGGCCGAGAACGGGCAGGAGGAGGCAGCAACAGGAGCCTTTCGGACAGTCATCTGCCCAACCAAGGCCTACACAGGGGCCTAGACCACCATTTTGATGGCTTGGTTGAGGACGACCTCCCAGTCAGAACCCTGGATCCGTCCAACCTTACCTTTTTGTCACGTCTGTCCCCCTTCTATCGTGCGTGGGCCCAGATCACATCGGATGCTTGGGTGCTGCGCACGGTAGGGGAGGGATATTCTATCCAGTTCTCCTCCCTCCTGCCCCACCAGCCCCCCTCCCCGTCCCTCTTCAGGGACCCCTCTCACGAGCAACTTCTACTTCAAGAAGTTCAGCCCCTCCTCGCTTCGGGGGCAGTGGAGGAGGTTCCGCAGGAGCTACGGGGCAAGGGCTTCTACTCTCGATATTTCCTAATTCCGAAAGCGAAAGGGGGCCTCAGACCTATTCTGGACTTGCGGCGTCTCAACAAGTTTGTGAAGAAACTCAAGTGCCGCATGGTCTCCCTGTCCTCCATCATTCCTTCCATGGATCCAGGAGACTGGTATGCCGCCCTCGACTTAAAGGACGCATACTTTCATATCGCAATAATCCCTCAGCACAGGCGTTACCTCAGGTTTCTCATGGGCAACGCTCATCTTCAGTTTACGGTTCTGCCGTTTGGTCTGTCAGCAGCCCCAAGGGTCTTCACGAAATGCATGGCAGTCGTGGCAGCCTTCCTGCGCAGACACGGGATCCAGGTATTTCCCTACCTGGACGATTGGCTCATCAAGGGCAGGACCAAGGCACTAGTGGAGGCTCAGGTGGTCTTCATCAGGCAGACCTTCCGCTCACTCGGCCTCTTACTCAACACGGCCAAGTCCACACTGTCTCCAACTCAAAAAATCGAATTCATAGGAGCAGTTCTGGACTCGACACAAGCCAGGGCATATCTCCCAGAGGCCAGATTCCGAACTATATCCAACATCATTCTCGGCCTCCAAAGTTACCCTACCACCACAGTAAGAAGCTGCCTCAAATTACTAGGACACATGGCAGCATGTACCTACGTGGTGAGACACACCAGACTCAGACTGCGCCCGGTCCAATCTTGGTTGGCAGGGGTTTATCGGCCAGTCAGGGACTCCCTAGAATCAGTGGTGACTTTACCTCCGCCGGTGTTGGACTCCCTTCAATGGTGGCTAGACCCGCGGGTGGTCTGCGCGGGAGTTCCTTTCCGGGACCCCGAACCCTCCCTATCCCTGGTAACAGACGCATCGGATCGGGGATGGGGTGCACATCTGGGCCACCTCAGAACACAAGGTTTTTGGTCGCGGGAGGATCTGTCACTGCACATCAATGTCAGGGAATTGCTAGCGGTACGCCTCGCATGCATAGCATTCAAGTCCCTTGGCAGGCAGGTGCGTTTCTGTCCTCACAGACAATACTCCAACTCTGTTTTATATCAACAAACAGGGTGGTGCTCGCTCCTCTCCCCTTTGCCAGGAGGCCCTCTCATTATGGGACTTTTGCGTACAGAATGTAATTCACCTGACAGCATCCTACCTCCCGGGCACGCACAACGCGCTCGCGGACGCCCTCAGCCGCTCGTTCCAGGGCCACGAGTGGTCTATCCGCTGGGATATAGTTCTCTAAATTTTCCGACTCTGGGGTCATCCCCAGGTAGACTTGTTTGCCTCCAATGAGAACAGGAAGTGTCGTCAATTCTGCTCCCTCATGGGACGCAGTCAGGGGTCCCTGTCAGACGCTTTTCTCCTCTCTTGGGCAGACGGGCTTTTTTACGCCTTTCCCCCGATTCCCTTGATTCACAGGGTAATCCTCAAGGCCCGCAGGGATCACGCTCTACTCATCCTGATAGCGCCTGCGTGGCCGCACCAGCACTGGTACATGTCGCTCCTACACATGTCTACGAGTTCCACTCAGGTTGCCCCTACTACCGGACTTGATCACGCAGGATCAAGGTCGCCTCCTTCACCTGAACCTGGAGTCGCTCCACCTTACAGCTTGGATGCTCCATGGCTAAACCCAGTGGAGTTACGATGCTCTCATCAGATCAGACAGGTCCTGTTGGGCAGCAGGAAGCCCTCAACAAGGACCACGTACTTGGCCAAGTGGAAGCGCTTCTCCCTCTGGGCTACACAACGGGGTCAGGCCCCCTTGCTCGCCCCGGTCCCTCTCATATTGGACTATTTGCTACATCTGAAACATCTGGGACTAACTCTCTCGTCGGTTCGAGTACACCTTGCTGCAATCTCCGCGTTCCACCCTGGAGACGGGGGGGACCTCAGTGTTTGCGAACCCACTCGTTGGACGATTCCTTAAGGGCCTTGACAGATTGTTCCCGCACATCCGTCAACCTGTCCCTGCTTGGGACCTCAATTTGGTCCTGTCTGTCCTCACAGGGCCCCCATTCGAGCCGCTGGCTTCATGCTCGCTGTTATACCTTTCATATAAAGTCGTGTTCTTGGTGGCTGTCACATCAGCCCGGAGAGTATCGGAACTCAGAGCTCTAACATCTGAACCTCCATACACCATCTTCCACAAGGACAAGGTCCAATTCAGGCCATACCCAGCGTTCCTGCCTAAGGTGGTTTCCCCATTTCACATGGGTCAAGACATTTTTCTCCCTGTCTTTTATCCGAAACCGCACTCCTCGGCTAAGGAGCGCAGGCTGCATTCTCTGGACGTTCGCAGGGCTCTCGCGTTCTATATCGAAAGGACGAGATCCTTCAGGAAGTCGACCCAACTTTTCGTCGCCGTGGCCGACAGTAGGAAAGGGCTTCCGGTCACGTCACAGCGGATCTCGGCTTGGATCAGAACCTGCATCCAGGAGTGCTACAGTCGGGCCAATATACCAACCCCGCCTATCACGGCCCACTCCACAAGAGTGCAGGCCTCTTCAGCCGCGTTCCTGGCCCACGTCCCGATGCAGGAAATTTGTAGAGCGGCCACCTGATCCTCAATCCACACCTTTACGGCGCACTACGCCATCACGCACCAGGCCAGGGAGGATGCTGCATTTGGCCGCACAGTCCTCCAGTCTGCAGTGACCTCCGACCCCACCACCTAGACTCGGGCTTGTGAGTCACCTGCTTGGAATGGACATGAACAATCACTCGAAGAAGAAGAAACCGTTACTCACCTTCTTGTAACTGTTGTTCTTCGAGATGTATTGTTCATGTCCATTCCAGTACCCACCCTCCTACCCCTCTGTCGGAGTATCGGCAAGAAGGAACTGAGGGGGTGGGGGGTCGGCTGGCCCCTATATACAGCGCCATGAGGGCGTCACTCCAGGGGGCGCCGGAGCCAACCCTACGGACGCTGCTATAGTAAAATCTTCCGGCTGGCGTGCACGCGGTGCGCGCACACCTGCTTGGAATGGACATGAACAACACATCTCGAAGAACAACAGTTACAAGAAGGTTTCATTTAGACCCCATCATTGTATATGTATAGTTAGGATTATGTTTTCCAATGTGCATTACTTTGCATTTATCAACATTAAATTTCATCTGCCGTTTTGTTGCCCAGTCGCCCAGTTTTGTGAGATCCTTTTGTAGCTCTTCACAGTCTGCCTGGGACTTAACTATCTTGAGTAGTTTTGTATCATCTGCAAATTTTGCCGCCTCTCTGTTTACCCCTTTTTCCAGATCGTTTATGATTATGTTAAATAGGACTGGTCCCAGTACAGACCCCTGGGGGACACCACTATTTACCTCTCTCCATTCTGAAAACTGACCATTTATTCCTACTTTGTTTCCTATCTTTTAACCAGTTACCAATCCATGAGAGAACCTTCCCTTTTATCCCGTGACCGCTTATTTTGCTTAAGAGCCTTTGGTGAGGGACCTTGTCAAAGGCTTTCTGAAAATCTAAATACACTATATCCACTGGATCTCCTTTGTCCACATGCTTGTTGACTCCCTCAAAGAATTCTAGTAGATTGGTGAGGCATGATTTCCCTTTACAGAAACCATGTTGACTATTTCCCAACAAATTATGTTCATCTCTGTGTCTGACAATTTTGTTCTTTATGATAGTTTCAACCAATTTGCCCGGTACTAAAGTGAGGCTTACTGGCCTGTATATTTCCAACTCCATTCCATTGCTGATCTGCACTTGGTGGTGGGTTCCATCACTACATTCCCCACCCCACTGCCAATTAGATCCCAGAAATGTGTCATGAAAATGGAACTGACAGGCCTGACCTACCAGTGGAAAAGAGACTTAGAAACCACTAAGGCAAATAACTAGTGATCTGTGACCCAGAACTGAGAGAGGCTGTCTCCCTGAAGATATTGCACTCCCCTTATAATATGGAGTTGAGGATATAGCAGCAGGGCCTCTGGGGATTGGAGAGAGATCCAAAATGCGGTGGGGAATATAGCGATGGGGCGCTGGAAGGGGGGGGTGAAAAGAGGTATGGAGGGGAAATATAGTGACGGAGCCCTTGGCGGGTTGCAGGAAGGGATCCCTCTCTGTTATGTTTTCTCTGTTCTGCAGTTTGTAGACTTGAGCTGTAATGAACTAATAGAAATCGTGATCCCTGAGGTGCTGCCAGCTACCTTGCAGGAGCTGGACCTGACTGGAAACACGAACCTGGTGCTAGAACACAAGACCCTGGACATCTTCAGGTGAGTTGTGGGGCTGCCAGGCCAATGAAGCAAGAAGCTTTCTGGGAAGGGCTTATCGAACTGGGCATAAGCTCACAAGATGCATTTTAATACAGACAAATGTAAAGTCATATGTCTAGGAACACAGAATGCAGGCCATCCATGCAAGATGGGGAACTCTGTCCTGGGAAGCCATGACGCTGAAAAAGACTTGAAGGATCATGGTGGATAAGCAGCTGAACATGAGCTCCCAATGCGATTCTGTGGCCAAAAAGGGCTAATGCGATCCTTGGTTCTATAAACAGGAACCTCAAGTAGGAGTAGGGAGGTTGTTTTACCTCTGAATTTTGCACTGATGCGACCTCTTCGGCAATAATGTCCAGTTCTGGTGTCCACAACTGAAGAAGGATGTTGATAAATTAGAGAGGGTTCAGAGAAGAGCCATGAGATGATTAAAGGATTAGATAGACTCAAGGAGCTCAATCTATTTAGCTTAACAAAGAGGTTAAGGGTGATTTGATCAGTCTCTAATTACCTTCACAAGGAACACAAATTTGATAATGAGCTCTTCAGTCTAGTAGACAAATATATAACAAGATCCAGTGGTTGAAAGTTGAAGCTAGACAAATTCAGACTGCAAATAAGGTGTACATTTTTATCTATGAAGCATGTACCAGAGGTGGAAGTAATGTGTTGACTGGGTCACTGAGCACAGCAGAAGTTGTTGACATCCCCTTCCCACAATCATTCATCCATGATTGACTAATGCTGTCTGTCTTGCAGCAGTCAAAATGCAGATTCTGGCTCTACACCAGCATAGAACAGTCAGGCAAAGAATCTCTTGGTTGGCACCTTGTAGATACAGAACAACAGCCGATGGAAGGCTTTGTCCTTAATCTCCTTTCCTGGTCTCAGCTTCTTCCAAGGGGCTGCTTTCTAGGAACTCCAGATTGGTAGGGTGAACTGGCCTTTAACCGTAATGCTTATGTGGAGATGCCCCAGGCTGTTGTGCAATATGTGGGAGCAGAATGACCTTTGTGGTGCTCTCTCTGCAGTCACATTGCCACCCTGAAGATTGATGCCAAGCCCTCCCTCACGGCAGACTCAGCACTCTCCTCTACGCTCTGGAATCATGGGTTAGCCGAGATGGCTGGCCAGAGGAATAAGTGAGTATTATTGCCTGATGTGGGGCTCACACATGGATCCTGAGACGCCCACTCTGTTCTGGGGCAAGGGGCAGCATACATTGCTGAATGACCATCCAGCCACCAATCAAACCCTGCTGTCCCCAGGAGCTAGCCAGCCTTGTGTGGCTTCCTGGATCGTTTGCCTTCTCCTGGCAACTGGGGCCTCCCTTCCCCACTCCCTTTCTTGACTAAAGTCCACATGCTCTGGGACACTGAGAGTCTCTGCCCCCCATCCCTGGGTAGAGCTGCCTTTGCTCTCCCTGTGTGTGTGTGTGTGCGCACGCACGCACACAGAAACCACTAGGTAGAACTACCTCTGCACTCCCCATGCAGGCCCTGCATGTTCCCCCTGTGCTGGCGAGGAAAGATGGCCCCATTGGTTCCGGGCACTAGCCTTGGACTTGAGAAACCTGAATTTATGTTCCAGTTCCATTGCACACTTTATCAAAGGGGTAGCCATGTTAGTCTGGATCTGTAAAAGCAGCAAAGGGTCCTGTGGCACCTTATAGACTAACAGACGTATAGGAGCATGAGCTTTCGTGGGTGAATACGTGCATCCGAAGAAGTGGGTATTCACCCACGAAAGCTCATGCTCCTATTCGTCTGTTAGTCTATAAGGTGCCACAGGACTCTTTGCTGATTGCACACTTTGTATGTGACCTTGGGTAGATCACTTAGCCTCTCTTTGCCTCAGTTCCCAATATGTACAATGAGATAATAGCACTGCCCTACTTCACAGGGGTATGTGAGGAGAAATATTTTTGAGATTGTGAGTCACTCAGATACTATGGTCATGAGGCCATATAAATACCCCAAATAGATTCAAGTTGCTTTTACCCTCCCCGTATAGGCTCTGTGTGTCGGCCCTGGCTCTGGGGAGCTTTGCAGACAGTGTGGAAGCTGTGTACGGCATGTTCGACGGTGACAAGAATGAGGAGCTGCCCCGTCTCCTGCAATGCACTATGGCAGACGTGCTACTGGAGGAGGTGCAGCAGTCGAACATAGACTCTGTGTTCATGTCTAACACCTTCCTGGTCTCCCACAGGTAGGCCAGCAGGTGCTGGGGGCACCTGTTAAAACTGATCAGACTGATGCATGGAGATGTGAGAAGGTCACAGGAGAGATCCTTTCCCAGTGCAGGGTAGGGAGGCTGCACCTGTGAGCAAGGATTTGTTTGTTCCTGTAGTATGAGAAATGTGAGGGGGTGGCTGGTTTGTTGAGGGAGAGGGGGCCGTCTCGCATCGATGGGAGAGAGGGAATCTCACTTGTTGATGCAGGATCGAGTGTGGATGGTCTCTGCAGAGTGTTCAGCTGCATCCCTCCCAATGGGTAGGTCTTGGGGTCATGGGTATATACATCACTCTTATACCTAGCACTTTGTGTATGAAGGAGAGGCAAGGGCCTGTTTGTTAAGTACCTGTCATTGGAAGTTGTGTTCTTTTCATATTGTCTCTTCCTTCCAATAGGAAGCTGGGGATGGCTGGCCAGAAGCTGGGCTCCTCTGCTGTCCTCTGCTATATTCGACATGATGCTACTGATCTGGCTGGCAGCTTCACTCTGACATTGGCCAATGTGGGCACATGCCAAGCCATTCTGTGCCGCAGTGGAAAACCCCTGCCCCTTTCCAAAGTCTTCAGCCTGGAACAATATCCTGAGGAGGCCAGGAGAGTCAAGGAGCAAAAAGCCATCATAACAGAGGTCAGTTCTGCCTTTCTGCAGCTCAGTTTTCATTCTGCAATATGGGTTTAATAACAGCACCGGGCTCTAACCTGCTGCAGAGGACATCACAGCAGAGAGTCTACAGAGATAAATATTTGCATCTCTTTTGTCTCTGCTGCTTCCCAGCTCTGCTCCTGCTGCTGGTGGGACATTGAGCATTCTTGAAATGCCATGCTGAACAGATAGCTGGGCATATCTGGGAGGGTGAGGGGATAGGTATGAGAAGCCAGCATATCTAAAACCCCACATGGCAGAACAAACTGCCAGCTGATGTGTGTTGTCTCCCTGAGGCTCATGGTGAAGACCCTGACCTAAGCAAAGGGTCATTCACTTAGTGAAACAAATGAGCTGCTTCACTTCTTCACTCCCTCTATCATGGAGCCACATGGATGGGGATGGATTTTAAAATGGTCATAATTTTCTGGGCTAAAAGTTAGGGTGATTTGGATCTAGTGCAGCAGGGCTCTGACTGACTATATTATGTGTGTGCGGGGAGAGGGGTCGCATCTGATTCTGAAACATCTATTCTTCTTTGAGTGATGGTCCCTATGTGGATTCCAATCGTGGGTGCGTATACATGCCATGTGCTGGAGCTGGAACTGTTCATAGTAGTGTCTGTCGACCCGAATGTGCGTCAACCGTGTGGTGCATCCGAGGCTTTAAGAAGCTGTGCGGGTTGATGCCGCTCCAGTACCCTCTTACCGCCGCATGGCCAGAGTCAGAACCCCCATTCCTCGGTGATTGTAAGCTTGTTTCGAGTTCTCTAGTTCTTGCTGTATATAGTTATTCATAGAGTAGTTGCCCATCCTCGTTTTTCCTGTCCCTTAGTTGTTAGTAGTCAGTTGTTGGGAATAAAAATCCAAGACTTTTCCCTTGGTGGGACTCTCTTCCCGGCCAGGGGACTATGCCCAGACAAGCAGGGTTTGAATATGGTGCTTTCTGCCCTCGCTCATTCTCGGTGAGCAAAGAACATCAACGGTGCCTATACTGTCTCGGAAAGCTCACATCGCTGCACACTGCTCTATCTGCTGCTCCTTCCCACCCCGAACACAGGAAGCTTGTGAGCTTTGCTTCCGTAAGTTCCTGATGGTGGAGGCTATGTACCTTTGTGCACCACAGAAACCAGCACCGGCGGATCCGTTGGACAGCTGCTCTGCACCAGCGGCCAGCCCTACTCCCACTCTGTCCTGCCCAGCACCAGTGGCACTGCCGCATCCAATTAAGCACCATGTGCATAAAAAGCACATGCATGAGCACAAGCGTAGCGTTTCCTCTTCAAGCTGTGGCAGGTCGGGTGAGAAGTCACACACCAAAGATGAGGCTCCCCCTGTGAAGAAATCTCATTCTGAGCATAAATCCCAACACCATGCTCCAACAAGGACGACCTTGGCCCCGGTACCAACCCCGCAGCCTTCGCCTCCACCGCCATCCAGTCTGCAGGGACCATACAGTATCTCCTGCCTGGTCCCACGCACCCCAGGGTGCCTGTCTCCCTTGACTCCTACGACTGAGCTGATGCTGCCATTTGCTGGCTCTCCGCCACAACCCGCACTGCCGACCACCCACGGTCCTCCATTCCTAGTTGAGGATCCTCTCCTATTGATGGACCGCCCTCCATTGCTTCCCGCTGCTCTGATGGTCCCGTCAGTTACGACGGCTCTGCCCCTGCCGGATCTTCTTCAGAATTGGACTGATCCTCCGAGGCAGATCCTGCCTTCTCACCAGCCTGTTCGTACAGCCCAGATCCCAAAGGGCAGCCCTACCCACCAACTTACGGACTCTTTGCCGATCCGTAGTTCACCTACCTGAGGGGACCCCCAGTTCCGAGCGACCCTTATGCTTGGCCCTATTGAGCAGCTTGGGACCCGTAGTGGTATTATATACACCGCCACCACTATCCATCTGCTACCACCGCCTATGATGCCCCTTTGGATACTCCTGTTCTGCCAGATCCACTTGCACCACTGGCACTGCTGGACTAGTTGGCTCCACCAGTCCCCACTGGCGTCATCTCCTCTCCTGATGACACACTCATCCCTCCCTCTCTCTCGCCTCCAGATGATCATGCTCAGTATCAAGCCCTCCTTCATCGTATGGCCACTGCCCTCAAACTTCCTGTGGAGGACATCCAGGATCCTCAAGACCAGTTCATGGATATTCTGCAGCCTCCAAGCCCTGCTCGTACTGCCCTAATGCCATCCTTCAACCTGCACAAGCAGTCTGGCACACACTGGCTTCCTGTATGTCTACTCCAAAGCGAGTTGAACACTGCTATTTCGTGCCGGCCAAGGGTATGGACTTCCTTTTCCAGCACCCCCTCCAAATTCCCTGGTATTCCAGGAAGCTACGGAGCATGCCCACCAACACCACCTTCACTCCACACACCCCTTCCCCCCCACCCCTCCCGACCAGGCAGCCAAAAAGCTCGGCCTTATCAAGTGTAAGGTTTACTCCTCTGCGGGCCTCCAATTTTGTATAGTCAGTTACCAAGCCGTCCTGGCCAAATATGACTCCCGCTCCTATGCCAAACTGGCACAATTCAGGGACTTTCTTCCCCCAGACAAGCAACAGGACTTTCAATCGCTCATAGATGAGGGCATGTTGGTCACCAAAGTCACACTTCAGGCTGCAGTGAACACTGCAGATACCACCTCCCAATTGCTGGCCTCTGCGGTGGTGCTCCACCGCGACTCATGGCTGCAATTCAGCGGCTTCCCGAAGGAGGTCCAGACAACCCTTGAAGACCTCCCCTTTGGTAACAACAAACTTTTCAGCGACAGGAGGGACGAGTCCCTTCACTCCCTGAAAGACTCCCGAGCCACCCTCCGATCCCTGGGCCTCTACACACTGGTTCTCCTTCTGCCCCTGCCCCCGACAAACTTACCAGCCTTATCCACAGCGCCAGCCTGAACTACCCCATCGCCGCCCATGCTCTCAACACCTGCAACAATCTTCTGCCCCTACTTCGGCTGCCTCCATGTTCATCCACTGTACCCTCAGACACAATTTTTGACTCCTTCGCAGAGAACCATGAACCTTCCTCCATTCTGCTGGTTACACCCCACATCATCTTCGGCGACCGCTTTGCCCACAGCTGGGGCAAGATTACCACCAACCAATGGGTGCTCGATGTCATTCACCATGGCTACCTAATAGAGTTCTTTCTTTCCCTCCTCGCCACCCTCCCAGGGGTCGCACTTTGGACCCCTCCCAATACCACTCCTCCAACAGGAAGTGGATGCCCTCCTCTGCAAGAGCGCCATAAAGCCAGTACCACAATGCCATCGCAGCCATGGCTTTTACTCCACCTATTTCCTCATACCGAAGAAAGAGGGTGGTATCTGCTGTAACGGGGTCAGACCAGACGACTACAGGAGAGTGGTCCTATTGGGATCCAGGAAGTGGGCGGGCGGAAGCATCCCCCCAGCCTAAGGGGAGGATCCACAGGACCTGGAAGCCAAATGATTCCAGGGGACAACTAATGAAATAACAGGGACAGGAGTGAGGTCAAAGGGTCAAATGAAGGGAACCTGACAGGGACACCGAGCAGAGAACCCCGGACAGCGCCCACTGCTCCTCGAAGGCATCAAGGGAGCCAGCGGATGCCGCTCAGAGGAACTCTGCTTGGATGCATGAGCGGACGGAGGATCGGAAATAGGCCTCACAGTCACAGGAGACCCCATCAGCCAACCTCCTCTCCCTGGTTTTATAGATGGCCATTTTAGCCAGGGCTAGGAGGAGGTTGACCAGGAGGTCCCGTGACTTTGTGGGGCCACGGATGGGGAGTGCATAGATAAGAAGGTGAAGGGAAAAGTGCAACCAAAAATGTAACAGGATGTCTAAGAGGAGCTGGAATAGGGGCTGCAACCTGGCGCGCTCCAGGTAAACGTGCGCCAGGGTCTCCCTCACGCCGCAGAAGGGGCAGGTGTCCGGGACGGGGGTGAACCGCACCAGGTACACGCCTGTGCTCATGGCTCTGTGAAGGAGCCGCCAACTGATTGGCCCCAGGTGTCCTAATTAACCTATCAAGGGCCTGCCGGAACCTGTTAAGAGCCTCTCCTCCAGCCAGATAGGGGTGCGCGATAGGAGCTATGGGAGGAAGCTACTGGAGAGCTGGATGGTGCAGACGCTGACAAGCACCAGGAAAGAAACCATGCAGGTACAGAGGCGAAGGGCGGGAGAATCCCTGCCCAATGGGGTGGACAGCCCTTCTGGGCCCCCGAGGTCTGAGGGAAGAGACTCCACCAGAGGGGACAGACTGAATCCGGTGTCTGGTCTGTTGCCACCACGCCCTCAGGGGCTACCAGAAACCGAGAAGCTCCCTTTCCCCTCCCCCCATCAAGGAGTCCAGGGGGGAACCCTGCTCTGGCAGGGTGTGGACAGCAAGCCCAGGGGCATGGGGAAAATTTGGAGGGAAAGAGGAATACCCCAGCCCACTGCTAAATGGAAGCGCAGGACCCACCGAAGTGGAGAAGAAGCTCTGTCACACAGCCCTATCCTGGATCTCTGCTTATTCAACAGATTTATCCGCAATTTCCACTTCCGGATGGACACACAAGAACGGCCATACTGGGTCAGACCAAAGCTCCATCTAGTCCAGTATCCTGTCTTCCAACAGTGGCCAATGCCATGTGTCCCAGAGGGAATGAACAGAACACAGAATCATCAAATGATCCATTCCCTGTCTCCCATTCCCCGCTTCTGGCAAAGAGAGGTTAGGGACACCATCCCTGCCCATCCTGGCTAATAGCCATTGATGGACCCAGCCTCCATGAACTTATCTAGTTCTTCCCCTGATACTTCTGTGTCTTCCCAAGGGAGCCTGGTTCACAGCTTTTGATATGAAGGATACCTATTTTCATATCGACAGTCATCCTGCCCACCGTAAATTTCTCCGCTTCATGGTAGGCGTTTCACACTACCACTTCAGAGCCCTTCCCATAGCTACTGCTCCCCAAGTCTTTACCAAGGTCTTCGCCATCGTAGCATCATATATGTGCCGCCTAGGGCATTCCCTCTCTCCTTATCTCGACGACTGGCTTCTCGTTGCACTCTCCTGCACTCGTCTCCTTGCCACTATCCAAACTGGACGAGCTCGGCATCTACATCAACGAAGAGAAATCAATACTCCCAACCTCATCTTCATAGGGGCGAGTCTCAACTCTTATCGCGGCCCATGCCTTTCAACAGTCAGACTGTTTCACTGCCTCACCACTCTCATTGCACTCATTTGCCATTGACCTCACAAGTGCGTCCGACAGTGCCTCTCGCTCCTTGGCCACATGGTGACCTGCACCACGGTGACACCCTTCACACGCCTTCACATGCGCTGGCTCCAGCTCTGGCTCCGCTTGACTTACAACACACAGAGGGACCCTCTCTCCAAGCTGGTCCTCTTCTCCCACTTCCATCCTGGCCTCCCTCACTTGGTGGTGCATCCCTTTCACACCTCCGGTGCCATGCACCACCCTGACCACAGTTGTCTCCCTGGCAGGATGGGGAGCACATATGGAGGGCCACATGGCCCAGGGCCTCTGGTTACCCAAGGTAGCCAGAATGCACATCAGTGTTCTTGAAGTCCGAGCCATCTGCCGTGCACTTCTACTATTCCTCCACTCCCGCCATGTCCAACTGCTCTCCGACAACATGGCGACGGTCCTATATATCAACAAACAGGGCAGGGCCTGCTCCCTTTTCCTCTGTGTGGAGGCCATTCTCCTTTGGAATTGGTGCCTCAAACACAGCATCACTCTCCATGCTGTGCACCTTCCTGGCATGAGCAACTCCTTCGTGGATAACCTCAGTTGCTCCTTCTCCTCCTAGTTCTTCAGTTTCATATTTGAGTTCCTTCAGAACTCCTGGGTAAATACCATCTGGTCCTGGTGACTTAGTACTGTTTAATTTATCAGTTCCAAAATCTCCTCAACATGGGTCAGTTCATCAGATTTGTCACCTAAAAAGAATGGCTCAGGTATGAACCCACTGATTCAGCTGTAGTCATCTCTTGGACCAGATCCTGTGTGCCACTTAGGACTAAATCAAGAATTGCCTCTCCCTTGTGGGTTCCAGGGCTAGCTGGGTCCTGCCGCCCGCCCGCCGCAGCTGGGCAACTGCGCAGGGTCCCGCTGCCCTCCTGCCGCAGCTGGGCATGTGCGTGGGGTCCCCCCACCAGGTTAGGGGCTGGGAACTGTGAGGGCGGGGCTGGCTGGGAGCTCCAGCCCCAGGGCAGAAAATGTCACGGAAGTCAGTGGAAGTCACAGATTCCATGACTTCCGTGACCTCCATGACATAATCATAGCCTTACCTATTATATCAATATTCCCATTTAATAACAGGCATTCAAGTTCACCCATCTTAGTATTTAGACTTCTTGCATTTGTATACAACCACTTATAAAATTTGTCAATACTTAGTTGTCTGCCTTCATGTGATGTAATTGAATGGGAATCTTTTTCTTTTGACTGTTTTTTTTTCTGTTCCTATCTGTTCTTTATCATAGAATCATAGAAGAGTAGTGTTGGAAGAGACCTCAGGAGGTCATCTAGTCCAACCCCCTGCTCAAAGCAGGACCAACACCAACTAAATCATCCCAGCCAGGGCTTTATCAAGCCGGGCCTTAAAAACCTCTAAGGAAGGAGATTCCACCACCTCCCTATGTAACCCATTCCAGTGCTTCACCACCCTCCTAGTGAAAAAGTTTTTCCTAACATCCAACCTAGACCTCCCCCACTGCAACTTGAGACCATTGCTCCTTGTTCTGTCATCTGCCACCACTGAGAACAGCCTCGCTCCATCCTCTTTGGAACCCCCCCTTCAGGTACTTGAAGGCTGCTATCAAATCCCCCCTCATTCTTCTCTTCTGCAGACTAAATAAGCCGAGCTCCCTCAGCCTCTCCTCGACTTCTATCCTCTCCTCTTTACTATGATATAAAGTATCCCCTTTAATAAATCCTCCCCTAAGAGACATCTGTCCAAACCATGTGCACTTCCGCACCTGCCAGATTTTCCCCAGCCTTTAGTTTAAAAACTCCTCTGTGACCTATTTAATTTTACAATCTAGGTCCATTTTGGATTAGGTGGAGCCCATTCTTCCTGTATAGGGTCCTTCTTTCCCAAAAAGGTTGGTGATACCATTATTGGATACTTTGTCCAGTTCTATTGTCTGCACTTCAGAAAATATGCTGGCAAGTGGAAAGGGCTCAGAAAAGAGCTACACAAATTATTTGAGGTCTGGCAAACCTAAACCTGCCTTATAGCAGGAAACGAAAGAAGCTCAATCTATGAAGTTTATCTAAGAGAAGGTTAAGAGGTGACTTGGTCGTTGTCTATAAGTACCTACATAGGGAAGAGATTTGTGATAGTAGATGTGTCTTTAGTTTAGCAGAAAAAGGTGTAACAAAATCCAGTGGGTGGAAGCTGAAGCTAGACAAATTCAGTCTAGAAATGAGATGCAGGTTTTTATCAGTGAGGGTACTTAACCATGGGAACAACTCACCAAATGGTGTGATGGATTCTCTATCGCCTGCAGTCTTTAAACCAAGACTGGATAATTTTCTGAAAGAGATGCTCTAGCTCAACCAAAAGTTATTGACTTGTTGCAGGAATCACTGGGTGAAATGTGCTGGTCTGTGTTATGCAGCTGGTCAGACTGGATGATCAGAGTGGTCCTCTCTGACCTTAGAATCTATGAAGGTTTTCCCCCACTGTTGACTCCTCCATGATGTGGCAAGACCACCTGTAGGAAGGGAGTACGTTTATTGCCAGCAAGAGGCCAGTTAATGCCACTTGTGGTTGTGTGCCATGTGTCACAGTTTCAGGGCAACTGCACTTGTATTCCTCCCTCTGTGGTCCACCAAGTGCACCCATTTTAGGCTTCTGGCTCCCAGCCATCATCTCTTTTGATTGGAGATCTGCAGCTCACTCCCTCCTGACCAGGGATTTTAAGGCTCTACAGCGTTGGAGAGGCTCGGGGCTAGGGTGGAAGGGCAGGGTAAGGGCAGCCTGTCTTCCCATTAGTGGATGGGGGACGCTAGGACCCGGGGGCAGCAGACAGCAGTTGCTGCTGGCTCTGGCAGTACAAGCAGGCAAGGGAGAGGCGGTGGAGGCCGGGGACCCATCCAACACTCCCCCGCTCCCTGACTGCCCCCCCCCCGGACTCCCCTTACCATTCTGGCTCCACGTGTTTGCAAAACACGCTGCCCGGTGGGTCGGTTTGTGTGTTACACAGGGCTGCAGACAGAGGGAGGGGGGAGCAGGGGAGGGCTCTAGCTACTGGAGGCCAATGGGAGTGGGTCAATCGGCCCAGCCGCCGAATCAGCAGCCGCACTGTGCGTGGGAGGGAGGGAGGCGAGGGAGAAAAAAACCCCGGACATTTTAACCTTGTTACCAATTCCTCCCGGACGGCTATTTAGAGACGCAAAAGCCGGACATGTCTGGGGAAATACGGACGGATGGTAACCCTAGCTGAGCCCTCAAGGATTAACTCTCACATTCTACTGTACAAGGCAGCAGGAAAGGAGGGAGGGCAGACAGAGCCACAGTGTGTGTGTGTGTGTGTGTGTGTGTGAGAGAGAGAGGTGCATTTCCTCTTTAAGTATGAAGAGTGGGGTCAGAAGTGCACTGCCTTGTTAATTAGATCAGCAAGCTGAGACCAGACTGCAGCTGCTGCTGCCTGGAAGCTCCCTCTGTCCTGTGTATCCCCTGCTCTATGGAAGATGGGGTAAGCGGGGAGCAGCGGGGAGGGGGACACCCTGACATTAGCCCCCCTTTGCTCCCCCCCGCACAGCAAGCAGGAGTCTCGGGGAGCAGCTCCAAGGCAGAGGGCAGGAGCACCACATGGCAGTGCGGGGAGGGACAGCTGCAATTGCTGGGCAGCTGCTGCAATTGCTGGGCAGCTGCTGCACAGGCAACTTAGGGGAGCGGGGAGCTGATAGGGGGTTTGCCAGTCCACCCGGGTTCCAACCACCCACCAGCTAGCTCCACCGGGCTGCTCTTCCTGCAAGCAGTGGACAAAGCAGGCAGCTGCCAAACAACGTTAGAAGGGAGCATTGCACAACTTTAAACGAGCATGTTCCCTAATTGATCAGCAACGTAACGACGAAACAACGTTAACCGGGACGACTTTAAGTGAGGAGTTACTGTACTTCTACATCCTTCCCCACCAGGACTAAAAAACAAAGGGATTTATGCCTCAAAGTTCACCTCATGAAAGAGGTGATGCGTCCTGTGTCAGAACAGGATCTAAGGACCAGGTCTAGGTTTCTTATAAGCAAGCTCTAGCAGGGTGTGTCTCACTGTGGATGGCTCAGACTATGCAGTATCTTTCATGGCCTTACTGGTCTTGGGCTGCTCTGATTGATTCTAGACCTCCATCACGGTCATGCTCTAGGAGAATGTCGTCTCCTCCTCCCCCTGTGCAGGAAACTTCTACCCAGGATCCTACTGCCATCTCTCCACTCACTGTGTTGGACCCCATGGACTCCTTTTGAATAGGACTCCCTTTGAACCTATGGGTACAACCTTACACTTGCTTATTGTCTATGAAGGCAACATTGCTGGTGGAAGTCACTTCCACAAGGAGAGTTTTAAAACTCCAAGAGCTCCTGCATGACCACAATATTCCATAAAGACAAGGTTTCCCTTAGGCTGTACCCTAACTTTATGCTTAAAGTAGTGTTATCTCTCCAGCTGAACCAAACTATTCATCTTCTGGTGTTTTTCCCCAAAACTGCATTCTTCCAAAGCTGACAAGTCTTCATACTTTGGACATTCTTAGAGCTTTGGCATTTTGCCTGGACCAAACTAGGTCCTTCAGAACCTCCTCTAGACTTTTCGTAGCCTACACTGAGAGTGTTAAGGGTCAATCAGTGTCACCTCAGCGAATCTCAGATTGGATTTCTGACTGCATTAATCCTCTTGCTAATGTCTCTCCTCCACTGAGAATAACAGCTCACTCCAACAAAGCTCAGTCCACTTCATCAGCCTTTGAACAATGTCTCAATAGCAGATACCTACAAAGCAGCAAAATGGTCGTCTGTACATACCTTTTCCGGACATTACATCATCACTCAAGCCTCTTGTGATGATGCCAGCTTTGGCAAGCCTGTGTTACAATCTTTGTTCACATGATCTGAAGTCACTCCACCTGTACAGGAACTTCAGATGAGTCACCTGCAGTAGAATGTATATGTGCACAATCACTCAAAGGAGAAAAAATGGTTAGCTACCTGTACAGGAACTGTTGTAGTTCTTCGAGTAGTGTCGCTATGGGTGCTCCACTGTAGGTGTGTGTGCGTGCACACGCGGCTGCCTGCCTGCCACGAGACTAGCCAGTGTGTGTGGGCATTTCTCCCTTGGTTCTTTCTCAACCACCCTATGCTAGCGACGGAGCTGAGAGCTGTGTGTTCACGGATCGTTAACTCCTGATAGTTTTAAAATTTTTTTGCTGCTTTGAAGCCCCTTTCTTTTCTAAGATCTCGCCTCCCGCCAACCCTGTCGGGGGGGAGGGGACCCCCTGGACAAGGATATGCCTGGCTAGCTGCAAAGATTCCATTCCAGTAACGGACGAACACTTGCAGTGTATTCACTGCCAAAGGGAGAAGCACAATCCACAAAAGTGTGGTTGGTGACAGCAGCTAAAACCCAGGTCCAGGAAGTAGAGAGTGTTAAGGCTAAAACTCCTGCTCATGGAATCAGCCCTTCAGCCTCCAGAATCTCAAAGTGAGACATCACCGCAATCTTCTATGTCGAGGGCAGATGATTTTAAGGAATCGAGCCACTCGCTAAAGACCAGTAAGAAGATGTCTGTGAGTCCCTGTAGCGAGCCCAGTTTGAGCCAGAAACGTTCTCCAGCTTTATCAGTATCTTCAGTAGCAATGGCGTCGAAGCTGCCTAGAGTCAGTACTCAGGGCACACACGGTACCAAGCTGACAAAGGCCCAATGGGCATGGGCAAAGAGATACCGGTTACACGAGGGTGTGACAAACATAGACAATCTGCCCCGGGGAAGGTTACGTCAATGAGATCACCAGCACTGATGCCGACCCCAGTGCACGTGGCGCCGACGGACCATACAACCAGGTCCACGTCTCCAACTCCCTCAGTGCAAGCTCCTCGGCGCTGGCTGCCTTCAGCACTGATACCGGTACTGTCCGCACCGGTGGACTACAGGTGTGCATCAGACCTTTGGATAGCCGATGCACCAGACTTGCCTCTTCTCAGTATCAGAGCCTCATTACCGAGCTTGCCAGGATCAGTGGATGCATTGGCATCTGCATCTCCACACCACATAAGAAGATAACGGCCGTACTGCGTCAGACCAAAGGTCCATCTAGCCCAGTATCCTGTCTACCGACAGTGGCCAATGCCAGGTGTCCCAGAGGGAGTGAACCCAACAGGTAATGATCAAGTGATCTCTCTCCTGCCATCCATCTCCATCCTCTGACAAACAGAGTCTAGGGACACCATTCCTTAGCCATCCTGGCTAATAGCCATTAATGGACTTAACATCCATGAATTTATCCAGTTCCCTTTTAAACACTGTTGTAGTCCTAGCCTTCACAACCTCCTCAGGTAAGGAGTTCCATAAGTTTAGCCATGTACTACCTCTTTCCCATTCGGAGTCAGATAGCGAGCCGGAGGAGCTGGGTTCTCACTCATTGTCACCATTCAGACCCCAGTCCCACCAGAGGTACCCCCCTGGCCCTCAACTTCCTTGGTATGCGCAACCATGGTTCCAGCCACCAGCTCCCTACCCACAGTAGCCAAACTGGGACGCCTGGTAGGCCCAGAGACAACAAGCCTCACGGGCACCTAGCGTGATTTACCAGCAGGCACAGAGATGTCCCCTTTCAGCGACAATGTCAAGGGCACCCGATCCTCCAGAATTCTTGGAGGAAGAATGGGAAATGGAGACAGAAAAGCAAGAGGCTCCTCAAATCCACCTCTCATCATCCTCACCTAACGAGGTGGTGATGCCTCCCCCGCCATTTCTGGCAGATGACTTTGTCATTCCAGGACCTAATTCAAAGAGTGGCTGAGGCCCTACAAGTGCAACTACATGAAGTGTATGAACCTCATCAAGCTGGTGGACATTTTTCATTCTTCCACCTCTGCCAGGGTAGCCCTCCCAGTTAACAAGGCGCTCCTAGATCCTGCTAGGAGCGATTCACCCATCCACCTCCAAATTCCATCACAGTGGACATGGACAGTTCGAGGGGTCGCCAATACCAATTTAAATCTACCCCGTATGACCAAGACTGGACACGCTTGGACCTGTTTGGCAGAAAAGCCACCCTCCAGATTCGGGGAGCGAACTATCAGGCTTTACTAGCCAAATATGATTATCAGAACTATACAAAATTAAACTCCTTTATTGAGCAGCTCCCGGATACATACAAAGATCAATTCATGGCTATCATTAACGAAGGCCAGTTAGTGGTGAAAACATCTCTGCAGTGCGTGTTGGACACAGCCGACACAGCAGCGCACTGTCTCCCCCGTGATGGCTATGAGGAGAGCCTCATGGCTCCATTTGTCCGGCTTCCCTAAGGTGGTCCAGACAATAGTAGAGAACCTCCCCTTCAAGGGAACAAAACTATTCGCCGAGAAGACAGATGCGCCCCTCCACATGGTAAAGCAGGGATCGGCAACCTTTGGCACGCAGCCCGTCAGGGTAAGCTCCTGGCGGGCCGGGCCGGTTTGTTTACCTGCCGCGTCCGCAGGTTTGGATGATCGCAGCTCCCACTGGCCGCAGTTCGCCGTCCCAGGCCAATAGGAGCTGCGGGAGTGGCGGTCAGCACATCCCTCGTCCCGCGCCGCTTTCCACAGCCCCTATTGGCCTGGGACGGCAAACTGCAGCCAGTGGGAGCTGTGATCGGCCGAACCTGCGGACGAGGCAGGTAAACAAACCAGCCCGGCCTGCCAGGGGCTTTCCCTGATGGGCCGTGAGCCAAAGGTTGCCGATCCCTGTGGTAAAAGATTCTTGAGTGACTCTGAGATCCTTGGGGATATACAGGCCGGCTTACAAAAGAAAATATAGTCCTCAACCACAGGTCAAGCTGAGATCATTGCAGTACGTCCCTCAGTATTCATTGTGGATATTGTACAAGCCACAGAGAAAGAAATCGAAATTCTGTAAGCACAATCAATCAGGGCCACAGCCGCCTTTGTCTCAGCCCTCAACTTCGAAGCAACACTTTTGATGGGTTGGTCGAGGTGCCAATACAACATTCTCCTTACAATCTCTCACTGGGAACCCCCACTTCTACTTTTGGAGACTGCCTTTCCCCTATCCGCAGTACCTGGGAATGGATAACCTCCAACAAGTGGGTGCTGGAAATTGTCCAGGGTGGATCTGCCATCCACTTCTCCTCGCTTCCCCCTCCCAAACATCCTTCCCCATCCTTCTTCAGGGACCTTTCTCATGAGAGTCTACTACACCAAGAGGTGAATCATCTCCTCAACATAGGAGCTATAGAGCCGGTCCCACACATTTCAAGGGCAAGGCTTCTACTCTCGTTACTTCCTGATACCAAAGAAAAAGGGAGGTTGGAGACCTATACTGGACCTCAAAGCGCTCAATAGGTATATCAAGGTGCAGAAATTCAAGATGGTTACGCTGTCAACGATTATCCCAGCGCTAGAAAAAGGGGACTGCTTCTCGGCCCTCGATCTTCAAGATGCATATTTTCACATCTCTATCAAACCAAAACACAGGAGTTACCCCGTGGTCACGCTAGGCCAGGACCGCCACCAGTACAGAGTACTCCCTTTCAGCCTTGCATCAGCCCCCAGGGTGTTATCCAAGGTCCTTTCGGTAGTGACGGCCCATCTACGTTCTCCGGGTATCGTGATTTTTCCCTACCTGGACGATTGCCTTCTCAGGACATGGTCCTTCGCAGAGGCCCAATGAGTCATTCAGACCACACAAGACTTATTTCTGAGAAAGGGGCCTACAAATCAATGAACAAAAATCGTCCTTAACACCAGGTTCAAAAACTAGTTTTTATAGGAGCCGACCTTGACTCCATTCAGGCGAGGACACTCCTACCACATCACAGATTTCTCAGTCTCTCGTCTTTGATAGAGACAATACAATCCAGCCCTCAAATCTTGGCCAGATAGTTGCTGGAGCACATGGCCACGGGCACATCAATCATTGCTCATGCCAGACTATGCATGAGAGCCTCCAAGCATGGTTGGTATACAGACCAAACAAAGACAATATAACAAGCTCCTGTCAGTGCCCATCATAGTCAAGCAATCCTTGAACTGGTGGAAGGACCCAATGAATGTTTGCATGGGGATCCCATTCGCTCAGTTTTCCCCATCCCTTCTGACCACCGATGCATCCCTCATAGGCTGGGGAGCGCATCTCAGTGGTCACACTGTTTAGGGCAAATGCTTCCTGTCAGAGATATGTCTCCACATCAACCTGCTGGAGCTCAGAGCTGTTTGAAATGCATGTGCTCACTTCCTCACACTGATGAAGGACATGCACATGAAGGTCATGACAGACAACATGGCCTGTATGTACAACATAAACCGTCAAGGAGGCACCAGATCTCATTCTTTGCACAGAAGCTCTGAAGCTATGGAATTGGTGCATCTCTCACAACATCCTAATATCAGCGGCCTATCTACCGGGAATACACAACACAATGGCTGACAGCCTCAACTGCAAGTTCCCTCTCGACCACGAATAGGAAGTAGAGCCAACCATTTTACATGATATATTCCAACAATGGGGGTTCTTCTTCAAGTGATTGCTCAGGTGTATTCCATTATAGGTGTGTGTGCTCGCCACGTGCACCAGTGCCGGAAGTTTTTCCCTTAGCAGTATCCGTAGAGGGGGAGCACCGCTGCGACCCCTAGAGTGGCGCCGACATATCGCGCCATAAAGGGGGCTGCGTGCTTCCCCTACCCTCAGTTCCTTCTTGCCGCCAGTGAAGGTAGTCGGAACTTGCTCCAGCTTAGCTTAGCTGCAGCGTTTCTAGCTTAGTGGTATCCAGTTTCACTGATCTCTTTCCTTACTGAACTTACTTTCGCGAGTGCCTGGCTCGGGGCATGCCCCGTGGCCCAGGCTTCAAGTCGTGCGACTCCTGTTGCAACTCCATGCCCAGAAGCGATCCACACAATCAGTGTCTTCGCTGTCTGGGCGAGTCTCACGTTAGTGACAAGTGCAAGATCTGCCGCTCCTTCAAGCCCCGGACGAAAAAGGAGCTTGAGATCTGACTCAGAGCTCTTTTAATGGAGTCTGCATTGGCCCCGGCACCGGCCCCGGCACCGGCGCATCGAGCCGACACTGCGCCAGGCTCCGTGTCTTTGGCGCGTGGCGAAGCGCCTTCGGTGCGCCATTCTGAATCAGCACCCGGTACCGTGTCCTCGGTGCGCAGCGAGGCGCCGTCGACGTCCCGGCACTGCTCCCCAGCTAAGAAGCCAGGGAAGTCTCAGCGGCGCCGAGAGAAGGACAGGGGTGAGGCCAGACCCGAGTTGGGCAGCCCGCGATCCCCATTGGACAGAGACCTCTGAGCAGAGTAGTTCAGTCCTGTTCGCGCGAGCCTCGTCGGAGGTACGCATGCCTTCGACGCCAGAGGCAGCGCGTGACATCTTAGCGCTTCCGGTGCCGGGAGAGCCGCCTCAGTCAGGCCCCCGATCCCGTGGGAAGCCGCCTTTGGGCGCCCATCAGCCCTCCCCGGAGGTGTCGGAGGTCGAGGCACCGTCCCGGGTCGAGGTGCCGAGCAGAGCCCTGAGACGCACGTCAACTCCGCGTCTGGACTCTTCGACGAGCGGTTCCCACTCCTCCGCTCTTGGACGCCGTCGCGGAGGTAACAAGAGACGGCACCGTTCCTCTTCCAGCCACTCCAAGAGGAACAGGTCTCGACGCCGTCGGCACCGGCGCTCGTACTCAAGCGTCCGCCATCGCAGAGGCCATGCCCGGAGCGAGTCCCGAGAGTCCCCAGCACCGTGGCCACAGGCGCCGCAGGGAATCCGGAGACAGTTCCTCGGACATCTACCTGTCAACATCGTCCAGGTCCAAGTCTCGGGGTAGGAGCTGTCACAATAGAGACTGCTCCAGTCGTTCCCATGGCACCGTGCGCTTTTCCAGGACTTCGGCTTCGGTACACAGCCGTCTCTCCCTGGGCCGCACCGCGCCGCAAGAACAACCAGTCCTGCCGCCCGATGCATCTCCATTCCAGGCCGTGCCCTGGCAGGGACAATGGTGCCAGTGGCACCGTGGCCTCAGGCATCTGCGCAGCCAGGACCTCGCTCTGTGGCGGGAGCCTCTCAGGGCCGACCTGCGTTGCCTCCCCGGCACCGGGATCAGGCCGTGGGCGCCGAACCCCCGGCACCAACTCCGGTACCGGACGTGGAGCGCACGGTGCCATTGGCCGCCGAAGGCACCTCACCGTCCACCTCTTCGGCACA